ACTGGAGCAAAAACTACAACGCAACGATGAATTGCGAGCCCGGTATGAAGAGGGTATTCGGGAATATTTCACCCTGAATCAAATAACTCCTGCTACGACAACTGAGGAGCAGCATTCCGTGAAACTTGCCTCAAGTGCTCCAACAGTCGCATCATGTGTATTACCTCACCACGCTGTGATCAAAGAGGAAAGTCTAACCACGAAGCTAAAGATCGTGCAAGACTAGCAATGGCAAGTCCTTAAATGACGTACTGTGTGTGGGACCCGCACTTCAAAATGATCTGCCAGCAGTAGTTTTAAATTGGAGAAAACACAAATTCGCGTTTACATCTGATATCTAAAAGATGTATCGGTGCATAGACATGCACACAGATGACTCGCAATATCAACGTATTTTGTGGCGAAACGAAGCAAATGAAATTCAGGAGTATTGTCTCACGACAGTCACCTTTGGGAGTGCTTCCGCTCCATATACCGCGATACGAATCCTCCACCAACTGGCTGAAGACGAAAGTACATCATATCCGTTAGCAGCACCTGTCCTTCGGAATGAAATATATGTTGACGACGTACTATCTGGTGGTCACTCAGTTGAGACCGCCACCGAAATTCGCAAACAAGTAGCATTGCGCTCCGCTGGCATGGAACTTAGAAAATGGAGCAGCAACTCATCGGCGGTGCTGGACGGTATTCCTACCGAATACAGGTCAACAGTAATGCCTTACAATTAAATAGCAGCGATACAGTTAAAACCCTTGGTATTCTGTGGTAACCGAACAAGGACGTTTTTAAATTCCGGCTCAACTTCGAAATTGATTTTACTGCCACACAACGGTCAGTGCTCTCAACTATAGCTCGTCTGTATGATCCACTGGGACTAATCGCACCGGTTATTGTAGCAGCCAAAATCATCCTGAAATCGGTATGGTCCTTTAAGTTACAACGCGATGAGCACACGTTCACACCATTGGAATGGGATGAAACGCTACCAACAAATCTAAACCACCAATGGCAATGTTTTCTAAAGACTGTATCGGAGCTGTCCTGCATCACGGTGCCGAGATGGTTGAACTATGAGCCAAATCATGTTAAATCATTACAACTCCATGTATTTTGCGATGGCTCGACATCTGCCTATGCAGCATGTGTTTATCTACGGGTAGAATGCAGTGATGGTAAAATTTTTTCTCATCGCAAAAAGCACAGTCACCCCGACAAAACCGTTGACTATACCACGAGTCGAGTTGTGCGGAGCAGTGCTGGCGACTGAATTAATGGAATAGACCAAAAAATCATTGTTATTACCGTATACAAATCTAAAAACATTTTATTGGACCGATGCTACGATTGTGCTTTACTGGATAAATGGCGATCCGAATCGATGGCAAACATGGGCTTCAAACCGAGTTGGCAAGATACTACAAACCTCTTCACCGTCACAAAGGAGTCGATACTATGCAAAATCCAGCTGATTGCGCAACCCGAGGCCTAACACCAGTCAGTTTATCAACTTTCAGACTATGGTAGTCTGACCCAGAGTGGTTGCTGTCAGATGAAGATTCCTGGCCGAAATTTAGCACGACTGAATTGCTCATCAACGAAGAAATAGCTGAAGTTAAAAAGAAGCCGCTTCAAGCAAATTTCACGATTTGTCAAGACTCGGTTATTCTTCGCTAACGAAAACCTTACGCGTTTGTGCGTAATAAGCTGTGGGACAGATAGTGAAGCTATCGGTGTGCCTGGGTATCCCTTTCGGATGGTTTTGACCCAGTTTACATCAAAATCATCAATCGCCGATATTTGTTCAGTTATACACTTAGCTACATCTTCCTTGGTCGTGATCTCATCCATATCATGTATCTC